TTGGCTGATATTTTTATGCAGTGTTTGCAACTCCAAAAACTACAGTATTATTTGTACATCATATTTCTTAAAAATTTTTAAAAACAAGGTTACTTAAAATTCACATTTGTGGTTAATTTTTACCTAACGAATGAGAATCATGTAGCGGCTGAGTCCTGGCTCCGCCCCTTACAAGCTGTGTGACCATCACCAACAGTTTTACCTCTATGACTGTTTCCCTATCCTTAAATGTGGCTGGTAAAATCAAGCATAAAACTCTGGCGTCCTTGGGAATGAACTAATTGATTTAAATAGTGTGTTTCTAAGAGACTTGTAATTGAGGCAGCTAAGTTTAGTTCCAAAATTTAGTTCTTTCAGGGTAAACAACTTAGAACTTTGAAATAACTTTGACAATTCCACATATATATGTCAATGGGACTTTCCAACTGACATTTTGAAAAGAAACTCATTGTCTTCTCCTTCAAATCATGGTTTCCTCTAGGATTCCTTATCTCAGTGAATGACAAGATCACCCATCCAGTTGTAAAGAAAGCAAAGGAAGGAAGGAGGGAGGGAGGGGGGAGGGGAGAGGGAGAGGGGGGAGGGAAAGGGGGAAGGAGGAGAGAAAGGGACCTAGAAGCAGTCCTTGAATCCTTTCTCTCCCTTCCACCCTTTTTCTACTTTCTGTGGGTTCTGATAGTTCTTAGCTCTTGAATTTGTTCCACAGGCTCCTTTCCTTGTTCAATATGCCCTACTCTCTTCCCGGACTCATTGTAACATTAGCCTGCCAACTTGTCTCCTTTTATTCCCTCTTGGCCCTTTAAACAGACTCTCCTCACTATAACCAGATAATCTTTAATTAAAAAAATTAAATAGTGTCTTGCCTTATCCATATAATGGCCTCCTATGGCTTTTACTGCAAGAGCTCTCTTGCACTGCACCTGGCCTCTCCAGCTCATACTATCCTCATCTCTGTGCTCCTCTCATCACTGCCATATTCCTGCCAACCTCAGGTCCCCAGCCAGGCTTCTCTACCCTCTGTCTGGAATCCTCACCTATCTATTCACCTCCCAGTTGCACTTACCAATTATTTGGCATTTGGTAGACCTAGGTGAGTATCTGTTGACTGACTGAAAAAATGCATAAGGAGTGAATGAAGAGGATGATTGTACCCTTACAACATGGGGCCCCACATATTGGGAAGGGGTATGTACTTCATAATGACAACCCTATGATAGGACTGTCTCTGGAAAAGGGGAAAGGGTTGTTCTTGATTACTTCCCATTGTGTACACATTTTTATTTTCTGAATCTTTTTCTCCTAAAAATTATTTTCCTTTTTCTATTTTCTTTCTCTTTTTTAGTCCTTCTTTGTATTTTTCTTTTCCTGTATTTAGCAGTTTCTAAACAAAGTCATTTGAATTTCAATCACTATTAAACAGAATGGTGAATACTCAAGGTTTCTAGAAAGCCAACAAAAACCATACATATGAAAACTTCAGTGTCAAACTTCAATGTTATACACCTCTTCAAAAGCACTCAACAATTTTGCTAAAGAATATGTGGGGTTTTTTTTAAGTTGAAGTACGGTTTATATACAATATTATATTGGTTTCAGGTGTACAACATAGTGATTCAACAGTTATCTATAGTATTAAATTTTCACCCATGTAAGTGTAGTTATGATCTATTAATATATACAGATATCACAATATTAGTGACTATAAGAATATGTGTATTTTATTAAAACATAAGAATGGATTTTGGCAAGAGTATGCTGATCATGCTAGTTTATTTATATGCTCTGTGTTCAGAGCTATACCTGCAGCATTCTAATATAATTATGCCAGTATATAAGGAGTTTTCCAACTTACATCATAAGCACTTGACTGCAATATATATAAAGCCATATTGCTAAACTCATTTGTTACTTTTAGAGTTAGAAATAATCAATCATATCTGATTCTTCAATTTTGTATTTTTTTTGCATTTAAAGCTATTTTAAGTTATATATTCCACCCTTTTCATGAGCCTTAAAATACTGTATTAGCTAAATGTTCACATTTGTCCTTTTTAGCTTTAGAAGAAATGTCACATGCTAGGTTTCTGTAAATGACCCACATTCAGATGTGAACCAAACATAATAGCTTCTGCCACTCACCAAGCAGTGAATTGCTTCACATGTAGGACAGAGGGCAGATGACTTTGTAAATTACTTTGTTTCACTGGCCATCATGAGAACCTGTGGAATAATATGTGACCTATTTCTATAAACAATAATGCCTAAGGCTTAATGGACAGGTGAGATGTAGTTTCTCTTTTAATTACATTTTGAAGAAATAATTTAAAAATGTAAAATTTTCAGACATATTGAATAGTTGTATTGTTAAAAGAAATCCAAATTTGCCACCATCACTGTACAATTATTTTTATTTCAATATAATATCACAAAATTTCAGCTTTTTATCAAAAACAACTCAAACCTGCAAAAATTACAAAAAAATGATGAATTTCTATGTCCTTCTTCTAGAGATGCTAATTATTAATTTTTTAAGTATTTGCTTTCTTTTTTCTCTTTCATCCAATATGATACAATATCTTCAATTCTATGTAATTCAATCTGATATTTATACACAGACACACAGTGGCAGAAAATGCATGAAAATGCATGTGCATCTGTATCTGTGTATATTTTTGACCCATTTGAGAATAACCAATTTTCATAATTAATATAATTGTGGGAAGTTTAAGAATAATGTTTTATTGATCAGCTCTAGTGTTGCATATACAGAGAAAATAGTCTCTTGCTCTCTCATCAGTAGCTACCAATAACCTATTTACTTACGAAATTGGAGCTCTTTTTACATTGTTTAGCTTTATATAAATTTTCCTAATATTTACAGGGACTCTTTAGATTTCTGGCGATAACCAGAAAAAGTGAAAATTCAATAGATACACCAAGTTTGATCAGAATGGATGGCATAAATACAAAAGGATAAAATGATTCACTTTTGGTGAATACAGGTTACATTGCCTGACTGATTCTATTAACAAATGAATTATTATCAACATTTTTTTTTTATATTTTATATTTACCTCTGTAGATTATTCTCTCCTTGTTTTGTAAGCTGGCTCTGTAGAACTCAAAAATATGCCAATAACTAATAAATGTTGGTAAGTTGACCCATTAACAACCCATCATGAAGCTTTTCACTGGAAAAAGCCACTCAAAATATCCAGGAAAATTTAAGAATAAAACAAAAACGTCATTAATCTTTGTACAGCTTTACATATTCCAACATGCCATTTTGTTCTCTGTTAAAACATTTGTTTACCATCCTGTAGGTCCTGCCTTGGATGTTTACATAATTATTCTTTTACACTGAATGAAGGAGATATAAAGAAGAGACAGACATTTTCCTGGCAAAAGGAACAGAAGCTAGCAGAAACAGGACTGTGATTCCTAATTAATTCAAAGTTAATTGCACTGTTGATAATCCTGCACTTAAAATCTTCATATAGAAAATGTTTATGGCAGCAAATTGACAGTAATTTAACTACATTAAATCTTACCACCATTAAAAGAAAAAGATGAATGTTACATTAAACAAGCTTAAGAGAATGGTAAAGACTAGATCTTGTTTAAGAAAACAACTAGCAAATCATGTAAATGGCCAACCTAGAATCTCAAAGCACAATAAGAGCAGTAGTTGCATCTCAAGACGGTACCAAGCCATATGGCCTCTCTTGGGCCACCAGTGCTACTGGCTGGCAGTTTTGCCTTTATTTCTGCTCTATGATGAATTCATGGGGTGGGGGGAAGATACATAGATTTTATTTGGCACATAGATCTTATTTAAAATTCAATTTTAAAATTTTGGACAGATTCTACATAGAGGTCGTTAAATGAAGATATATGTTGTACTAGTTATTTTCACTGAGAAATCAGGTGATGGAATGAAAATAACTTTGGAGTTGTCTCTGACTTTAAGTTTTGTCTCTGTTAAAAAGTAAGATGAACTTTTTTGATTTATGGTAACATGTAAAAGATGAAATTAAAGTAAGGATAGATAACACAATGGATATGAAATTGACTGCCATCTTAATGGGGAATCAATAAATTTTAATTTTTATTATCTAGCCTGTTTAAAGCAAAATATAATTATCTTGGTCATTGAAATAAAATACAATCCTCTACTTTGAGTAGAAAAGCACTTACATGTAATGCTTAACTATTTGGTAGTCTAATTTATATTTCAGGAATTTATAAAAACTTACTTCTCAAACCATTTTATTGACACTGGGGTTCCTTAAGGTTCTCAATTTGGTTTACAGACTGTCAGTGGCACAATTTTGTGCTTCTGAAACAAGTTCCAGTTACACATGGTGAACCAAGTGTACACTAAATCATAGGATAAAGCAATATTTCCCCAATTTCAATTTTACTCAAGATTTTTAAAAGCACAACATATTATATTAAAACACATATATTGGTAGATTAGGGGTAGAAAATACATTTTTCTCTTCTCTGAACTTAAGTGTATTTAACAATATCTAGTATTTTATAAGCATTAGCCTAATTAATGTTTATAATACTCATCTGAATGTCACTAATGAAGTATTAGTGTTTTTCAGTAAGATACTTTGTTGCCACTTGACCATATCACACAAAAAGCAGTGCTTTTCTAAATTAATATTTGGAGTGGTTTTGAAAGGTACAAAAAGATTAAATGAGTAGTTCATCAAGATAGGTGTGTCCTCAAATTGGAGCATTTATCATTCATCCTGGGTAAAAACCAACCAAGAAAAACCTTTTTCCTGACTGAGCTGGTCCAATGGGTTTTCTACCACAGAGGCACTAAAACTAACTCATTTAGGAAGAAAAAAGCCACATTTAAATTCCCTTTGACAAATCCCTCACATTTGATCTGATTTGGATAGTATTAATGCAAACTAATTGCAAATATTTCTCACTTTTCTATAGTCTACTACTCAGGCATCAAAAATCTTACTTGTTCTTAGATTGCACAATGAATCTTGGATATTAGATGCATATCAGCGCATCCACAGTGAAGAAAACAAGTTTTTTATACTGTATGATTTGGAGATTTCCAATCAGGAGCTAAGTTATGTACTGAAAAGTTCTGCACAATGGAGAGGAATCGATGGTGAAAGAAGGCAGGAGACTTGGTTTGAAGGAGATTTATTTTTGAGTTCACAAAAGAAACTCATTCTGTTAGGCTATTAGCAAGTTGTTGAATTTTCTGATGCTGTTCTTGAAGCCACTAAACAAATCTTGTAACTCTACTATATATTGACGTTTTTTATGAATTGACCTGAGTTTAGCACTGTTATCTTCCTACAGAAATATTTATTGGTGTCTATTGTATATATATATATATATTGGGTAAAATGACACAAGGGTTGTGGAGAATATAAAAGAAGCTAGTGAAAGAATTCCCATGTGGAACAAGATTGGTGGTTTACTGTCACCTTGAGTGAACAGAGCTAAGGGAATGTTATTTCTGCCTTTCTCCATTGATGCCTTTGTTAGTCATCCTTGATTGCCTCCTTGTCAGGAACCTCTTTTAGGGGCTTCTTCCTTGGCTCCATCAGTCTCTTGTCCATGTGTTTTCCAGGGTTTAGTACTTGGATTATTTCTCTTTCTACTCTACGCACTGTCCTTTCTTTAAGCTCCTTTCAAACTGTGTCTGCCATCCAGCTGAAGATGGTCAAATACGTATCTCAAGGCTGCCCCTCTTTTCTGAGTCCTAAACGAATATAATCCAGCAGTGTACTTGGTATCTCCAGGTGGATGTCTCAAAGATATCTAAAACCCAGTAATGTTCCAGACAAAATCAGCTTAACACATATTGTTAATTCGTTAGTTAATTAACATATGCATCTTACTCTGGGTCGTGAAACTACAGCGTTTATGCTTCCAGAATCTCTGAACATGACATTTTCATCTACTCTGAATCAGAAAGATTCGAAAGTCAGAATTTCTTAGTCTTTATTTCCTAGACTTTTCTTTAATTTGATCATCCAGTCCTATTGATTAACGTTCTTAATAATTACACTTCTCTGTTCCATTTTCTACTCCATGCGTCTGGGATCTCCATCCCTGACTCCTGAACAGCAGCACTTGGCTTGGTGCTCTCCCTACCTTCAATCTCATTTAGCAGTTGCCACATTGTCACTCTGTCCTGGATCCACTCTTCACTTGTCAGAATGATATTTCTAAAATGTAAATCTGACCCTGCATTCCCTTGATACTGCATAAACTCTTCAATAACTTCCCATTGTCTAAAGAATAAATGCAAAAATTCATACTATTGTATATTTGCCATTTGATCTCATTCTTTTCTATTGCATATGTGATATCTCCTGTGTCCTCATCTTTCATACCCCTTCTCAGCATTCCTCTTACCAAATGCTTCTCACCAAATATGATTAAGCTATATAAAAATATGGTACATTGCTAATTATGTCATCATATTTCACAATGCCATTCATGTCTCTCTGTTTGGAGTGGCATCCTCTCATCTCCTCGTGAACCACCCGGCAAACTGATCATTCTTCCAGATGAGCTTGAGTGTTTTCTCTACGCAACCTTCCCAGAGAGGACCCTCTTCTTTTTTTGTCAACCTGCCTATTTTTCATGACCTTTCCAGCATCTAACAAGCAGTTTGAGAATTACCTTCTTCCAAGTTTCTCTCTTCCTCTTTAGACTAAGATCTTCATTTGGAGTAAACGAGTGGCTTCTCCATCTTTGTGTCCTTAATATCTACAGGGTCTGCAGAATAAAGTACATTTTAATGGTCTATTTCTTCAGTATATAAAAGAATGCATGCATGAATGGCTGAATAATTGACATACCTAGTCTGACCATATAATGAACGTATAATCCCTTTATCTTCTTCTCTACTAGAAACCTAAATTTCAGCTTTTTAAAAATTCCATATGGGTTTGCCATTAATGAACTCAATATGTCTTGAATTCCACTAATTTAATAGCTAAAAATGTACATTACAGCAGGCATTTCCAAGACCACCCTACTGGAATTGAAGTAAAAAAAAAAAATTGCTTTACCATACATTTATTCTGGTTTTTTATTCTACAAAAATCTTTGACTAACAGCATGATCTTTAAAAGGCTAAAATTGTTGAAATTATCCTAAATATTAAGCCAAGAGCATTTTCTCTGTAGGACAATTTCAAACTGTCTGGGAAGGCATTTATTTCATTATTAAGTTTCATAATGTGGTAGCTTAAGAATTTGGGAGCAATCCAAACCTGAGCACCAAAATGATTTGAGTTGAACGATAGCTCCCACCAACAGAACACAGAAGAAAATAGAGAACTATTTTATTATGTATTATTTTTATTTTAGCTGGAGAAGACAGGCAAGGCTGGAAAGGGGAGCAGGAGAGGAAAAGAAAGGAAAAGGAGGAGAAAGGGGGGGAAACTAATGATTACGTGTTAGAAGGAAAATAAATGAGATTGTGAAATTCCTTAATTCTTTAAAATAAGTTTTTAATCCCTTCTTTGTAAAATGGTTTAGCTGACCCATGAAGGACAGGAGTGGAATTCAGGAAGAGAACTCAAGCCTTGAGTGTCCATAACTCTAACTTTGCCTACACATCCAAATGGATTAAACAAATATCCTTTGACTCAATGTTATTAAACAGTTAGGTCAAAGGCCTTTGTGTCTTAAGTCAAATATTTTGGCTTAGGTTCTTTTGAGCCATTAACAGAAATTAATACAGGGGAAAAGATAAATTGCTGCTGTCCCTTTTCTGAAATGTATTGACTCAGCATCCATCAGCGATGAGACTCATAGAGATGTTTATGCAAATCATTTGAAAATCTGTAGAGCACCTGTTTGTTAAGCAGACAGGAATGTCCCCAAAGTTAAATGGATGGACAGGCAGATTCTGTTTGCTTGTTATGTCTCTTCATGACCTGGCACGTGTACCCTGAAGTCTTTCTCTTCCTTATGATTAACTTTGTATCCTATTCTTCTTAGCCTGTATTATGTTTGCTTGTTTAGTTTATTTCAATAAGGAAGCAAGATAGTCTGGTTGAATAATTGATACATTAATATCAAGATATAATGCCAGTTTAATTGAGAACAACCACCTATAATCTAAAATGCCAAATTAAGACTGGAACGGACATTTCAGTATAAAAGTATTTCATGTAAGTAATCTAGAAGTCTTGTGCCTGAAAAATTTGATCTAGATCTTTGCCATTGTCCTGGCCGTTAAGCATGTGCTTTTCATTTTTATCCTCTGGATTAAAAATTGCCACATAAATGGACACTTTATAATATGCTTAATTTCCTTTTATTAACTTGATAAATGCAAAAGCACAGAACACATTTACAGTATGATGAGAATTTAGCATTATTGTATTTTTTAATTTTTATATTGTTTATACATATAATTTGTCATTTGTGCAAAGACAGCCAGATGATAATTTTAAAGTATTTTAGCCATTTTCTTTGAAAAGGTAAAGGTCACTTTCAGTAGTCAGAAAAGGCATCATTCTATTAAACTAATTTGCCTACATGCAAATTTTGTCATTTTTACTTCATTAACTATTTATCATGGAGTAAAAAAATATATATATTCATGAAGGGGCAGCTCATAGCCTGATGGAACTGGAACTAATATTTTGCAACTCTAATGATTTTTTGCATCCTTAATTAGATAGCATAAGGTTGATATGATTAGGTCAGGATGTAGTGTTTTTCATTAAAATACATTTTAGAAGCTGTATTCATAATCTGCCCTTGCAATTAAATAATGAGCCTATGAATTTAATATTATCAACCCAATTATTATCCCATGCAAACGTATACCTTTAATAAATTTGTGCCGTAGGACCTTCATTAGCAGCAGTAGAAATGATATTTCTAGGTACATAGATTGAGTGGCTATGGTTAAACTTATATAATGGTTTTAAACATATCAGGAAGCAAAGCTTCAATACTTAGGAATTTAATTCCAAAATGTGCCTTCCTATTTGTTGAAGACCAATTTACATTATAATTATTTTCTGAAAGAAACTACCACTTTAAAATGGGCTATTGAAACTGGTAAAAATAGCTGGATGTTAGGCAGAGACAGAGGGCTAGAGAAAGTTTTGCATATGGGACAATGGAGTGTAAATTTAGAGATCAACTCAAACAACATAATCAGATAGCATCAAAACAAAAATGTCTGTTTCTTGAGTGTCCATATAATCTGTGAACTACCATATGCAATTAGTGAAGATTCTTATTTTTGTTACATGTTAGAGTAATTTTTGCTAATGAATGGCTGGTTGTACAGTGGAGCATGTAAGGTACTTAGAGGAGCTTCCTGCCATTTAATATGACTGTGTACAGGGAAACACACACATAAAAACATATCATTTTCTCATCTTGGCCTAAGAGTTGCTATTAATCTACTACTTTTGTGCATGCGGACAGTGACCACAATTGTTTGAGTTCTTCAGTTCATTGTTGATGAAATTCTATTATGAAGGTTATATACAATTTATAATCTTTAATAAAAGGTGGTAATTAAGAAAACCTGAACCTATATTTAGTAATTAATTCTACTGAGAAGTAAAACTGAACATTATTATTGACACAACAAACTGTGCACAGTGTGTCAGGGTATGACTGCACTGTTTTCCTAGAAACATGACTCATTTCTACTTGGGACTGCAGTCGTGGAGGGAAGAAAGCTTTGATGGGGGTCATGAATGGCCAGGTGGTAGCAAACAGATAAAATGGGAGCATGTTGATGGGGATTTGGAGTGGAGACATTTAATAGACTTTTCCGTGCAACAAGAGACAGTGAGTAGAGGTACAGTACCAGGAAATACCAAGGCAAGTTTGAAAGCTGACAGCAATTTCTTTTGGTTGAAACAAAAGACCGAAGAGTGGAAGAAAGTAATAGATGAGCCTGGAAAGGAAACTAGAAATACCCATGAGTGGGGGTTATATTTTCATCATAGGCGATGGGAAACCACCGATTTTAATAAGAAGAAGTAATTCATTCAATGAGGAATTTGGGCTGCCTCTGCACTGAACTCTGTTTTTATGCTTATTTTAATGCTCTAATACTTTTGTTTCTTGGGAGGTAAATAGTTTAATGTACTCTTTCTACTACATAGTTCAATTTCCCATCATTATAAACTGTTTATTCATGGAAGGTCTGAATTATCCATGGTATTTTCTAACTATCCAATTCAATCCGTACAATCCGTAAGGGATTGTGTTGTGTGTGTCATCAAGGGTTCATCATTCTGAATTGCGGTGGAGGGGTAGGCATAAGGCTTTGAGCATTGTACAAGCTTGATGGGCATGTGAAAGTAGGTGAGGATAAATTACAAGCTACACTGGACCTGGCCACATTTGGAATTAGGCATGGAATGTGGAAGCAAGTGGACATGGAGATACAGAGTCAAACTGAATCCAAAGTGGTAAGTGAGAGAGTGGGGACTCAAAACAAAGAACCCTCGAATCTTGTAGATTCTGTGTATTACAGAATGTTTTACATACAGAGGGTAGGAAGTAGGAACCTACTCATTTAGAACTAAGGAGCATTTTAACTCCTTATACCAAGAGAACAGAAGGTGAGTTCCCAAACTGTCTACATGTGACAGTTCTGCTCCCCTGACTGATTCTGGTGGCCTTCCATAGTGACTGACTTTACTGGTGGATGTTCCCACTTGTAAATTGACTAGAAGACTTTTTACACAAGTGTCAGTCACTGGATTAAGTGCCCACAAATAAGAAATAAGCATCTTGGACGCCAGAACAGACTCCTTCATGAAAGAGACGTTAATGGCAATGTAGGAAGGTAAATAAACTCTTCTTTGGTGGAAAGTCAGTAGATGAGGTGCTAATATCGTAGTTTGTTGCATTGAAGAGTACTAATTTTTTTCAGCAAAGAACATATTTTAGGGACAAAGTTTAGGTGAATACACCCTAAAGGCATGCCTAAATTATTTTAAACAAAGAGGTTACTTCCCAGTAATCCAATATATATTCCAAACTCCATAGCCAGTGTTATTTTATTCTTGAATTGAACAAATTCCTAATTACAGAAGCAGGAAGATGGTCTTCTTTTAAAGGTTTTTGTATAAATGTGGACAGCAATTAGAACTACTAACATTATGTAAATTCCTATTATTACACAATGGAAAGACTGATATTATCCAGTTAATTTGAAAATACAAATCTTAGCTCCAGTTAAAATATGTACATATAAAAGGATAATTTAAAAAAGAGGATGATTAAAGACATTTCTCTTTTGCTTTCTCTTTAAAATGATAAGTAAGGAGCAGAAGAAAATGTTCTGTGTTGTTATGGTGGTTTTGGTTAATTGATAGATATTTTTTCCTTGATTTTTTTTTACCTTTGAACTTGTGGGATATTTGTTTATAACCTACCCAACATATTGTTAAACTTTTGAAAGGTCATTTGGCCATGAGATGTTGATCTATTCTATAAAATGAAAATGATAGATAACAATGAAAGAAGGGAATAACTAGAAGCTTTCTGAAGATACTGTAAATGTTAAGGTTTTGAGGTTGGCAAAGACTTATTTACTTAGAAAGGCTAAGTACTTTCTCCCTTGATTCTAAAATCATTTCTGTTTGAAGCGAAGTGTAATCCATATGTTTTTCATTCATTAACACTTAATTTGTTAGCATCCCTTTACTGGAGTGTTATATAGCAGCCTTTCATCTTTTTTATAAGCTTATTTTCTTCAGACACAGGAAATCAAGATGTTCTAAGAGTAAACAAACTTAAACTCAAAGAGACATGATAGAGTTTTGCTTGTAACAAAGCACCTATTAGCTTTGAACTACCTCCGCACTCACTATGCAAATTTCTTCTTTAGACTTCCCTAAGTATCAAATTTATTTGTAATTAACTGAGACACGCATAGCTTTCTCTTTTATTATTTATTGAATTTTCCTATCTTACTCTAATTTTTCTTCATGATAAAATAGCCAACTACTAACACATTAATGAACAAGTCATTAATAATAGTTATTTAATTGCTATCTTATTATTTATTCATATTAATAATGCAGGAGCTACTTATCTTTTTAATAATTATGTGGTAGGAAATGGAATTTCATGTAAAGCATTAAACAATGTCCTTTCCTTTTTTCTTTGGAAGTACAATGTTCTTTTCCAGGAAGAATGAAAGTCAAATTTTTTTCCATATCTTTCTTCTGCTTGAGAAACACAAATTCTTCAACATTACTTGCATTTGTATAGACTTCAATGAGATTAAAATTCAACTCTATTGAAATACTTTCTAAGTCCATTACTCTTTTTCCTTTTAACTTATCTAATTCCTATAGGGTGCTATTTGGGCTTTTAACAGTCACAAAGCTCGGATAAATCAGTATTGCAAAAATGTCACCCTACTAAATAAATAGCTGTTACTGTGGGTCCGTCACTCTGTCAGGCAATTTATATGTTGGTTCACTTAATTCTCAAAGCACATTTATGTGGTTGGTATTATTTTCATTTTACAGATGAGAAAACGAGGGCTCAAAGAGAGGAAGTAACTTCATGCATTTTTCTAGCTATTCATTTATTCACTGCTTTTTAATTGATCATAAATGAAGTAGGCACTTTCCTTAGGTACAAAGTGAAAAGTCAGATGAAACAGTGTCTCTTCCCTTACAGTTCAGTAAAGAAGACACACAGGTGAGAAGATCACCCCAGTACAGTAAGATAGTGGAATAATAGAGCTCTGTTCTGTGGGGTAGGGCGCTAGCTTGAACAATGATAGTAACCCTTTTGGAATGGCCATTGAAGATCTCACAAAGGAGAAGATGACCGAGATAGGAATTTAAAATGAAGCACAAATTGGGCACCAAAAGGAAAAACACCCCAAGCAGAGGATGAAATATCATGGCATTTTTGGGGAACAGAAAAGAGTTTAGTATGACTGGAACCTGACTGATGTAGGCAACAGGGAGTGCTAAGATGGGATAAATAGACAAGAAATGGATACATATTAGTATCTCACTTTCTGTATCCATTCCAAAACCATAGCTTCCAGTAATTTATTATGAACTTGTACAAAAATGACTCATGAAAGATTGCATACTGAAGTAAAAAATGGCACAGAAATACGTAAAATTGTGCTAGTGGTTATGTCTTCTTTTGATGTTTGTGCTTTTCTAAATGCTATGCTAATTTTTATGATGAATACATATTGGTTTCATAATTTCATTTTAAAAGACCTATTAAAGTGTTCTTTGAAAGGAAAAAAAAGTATCAGGCAAAATTGAAAATCCTTTGCATATCACCATCTCATACCATTCAGAAATATTCATTCTATGGGAAGAATTTGAGACAGACAAAAGTAGCAATTCATGTTATGTCACAAATAGGTTTTTGGGCCATGACAATCTGCTTCAATATGGCCTCATGGTCCATCTTTAGACAGGGAGGAAGGAAAATCATAGCCAGCATCAATGTTTTAAAAACATCATACTGGTCAACAGGTTCTCAGTGTTTCTCCATATTCATTCTGATTGCTCTCTTTCAAGATTTGGGGAAATGTGTACCTTGCTTAACATGGTGGCAGAACCTGGTCACATGTTTCTCCCGATGAGACTGGTTGGCTGTTCCTTTTTGTTTGCATTTCCTCCTTTTTGATTAGATATGCAGTTTGGTTTCTACTGGAACTGCCAACAGCTGCAATTGTAGTTTATGCCTCGATTAGGTCCTAAAGCACAGCTAAGCTGCTGTGACAATTCCTGCTGTACACTTGGCAGGAGCAGAGTCACCATGCAGCACTCCAAGTGACACACACTATCCTGCACATTCAGTTCCTGGCTTCCAGGCTGGTCACTGGCTTCTTCTCGGGCAAGCTGTGGGACAAACTCTCCTTGTGACTACAGGCTGTTGCCAGGTCAGTCTGTAACTCATTTGCCCACTTGCTTATTTTTAAATTTCTTGATAAGAAAAGTGTATTCCTGGTTTTGTGGTGGGTTTTTTTGGTAAATATGTCATGATTTATCAAATAAATCCTGCCCTATCCAAACGTTTAGTCTTTCTGGATTGCCTTCATACCTTTGGTTTTTCACATTTGGCTGATAATTCTTCTCCTGGGTTTGTCATAAGTGTCTTGGTCACATACAAAATTTAAAAATTGTGAGCAATAAGCTTGTTTTTGTCATTAGGAGAGAAGAGCTATGTCAATAAAGTTTTTTAAACAAATAATACAATTCTTTAACTAAACCTTCGGTTTTCTTTTAAAATTCGTATGATGCTTTTAGGTATTGGAAAATCTAAAGGAAAGGTCAAGACAATATAAGGAGAGAAAATCAACTCCCCTTGATCAGATGGTAGTGACTTCAAACTCCAGGCTCTCTACCTGGGAAAATAGTGTGAGTCCCTCTTCCTCATCAGGGAAGAGTTACTCGTATGTACCATGTATACATTGGATCAAATCATACCATTTCCTTTTATCATGTATGACCAAAGGAATCTTTGATGTGTAATCCAGATTTTTCCTATTGCCAATTTCTTTTCTTGTCTATACCCTCCTTTTAAAACCTGTGGTTTTATTTCCATTTCTTTGCCTGTGTATCCTAAGGTTAAGTAAAATTCCTTTTAAAGAATCCCTGGGCATCCCTTAAAATATAGCTAAGAACCTTGCAGCCGTCAGCACACCCTAGTAAGACAAACACTGTGTTAAGTAATGAAGGCCTTATTACATTATTTTATAATATATGGCCTTTTGAAAAATGGTAAAATAAACTTTAACAACTTTATGAAGAAATAATGTACATACTATAACATTCACCCACTTGAAGTGCCCAGTTCAGTGGCCTTTCCCATGTTTATGGTGCTCTGCCATTATCACCACAGTTTAATTTTAGGACATTTTCATTACCCCAAATATTACCTTGGCAATAGAAATGTAATCTAAAAGCAAACAAACACACAAACAAACTCATAGAACTTGAAATTGCTGGGAACACATTTCTGGATCCCAGTTTAAGGAACAATGTTCTAGCTACTTAGGGGTACAAGACAAACCAGGGTTGATTTTCTAAAGAGTTCAACACAATACAGCCCTCTCCCATGTTTGCTTTTCCTTGAATATACACTGGCTATTACTATTTCTAGGCCTTTGAAGTCATATTTCTTTTAAGGAGTTTCCTTCCCCACTATGTTGTCCCATCAAAGTCTTCCACAATCAAGGGCAGGCTGGATGTCAGTCCTACTACCAAGCTTTCTGGCATCTGCCCGACCAGTCCAACAGAAACCAACTTCTCCAACTCCATGTGGTCAGAGCAACTATAAACTTTATATTGACCATGTTGTAATTATGTTATATTTTTCATGAATGTAATTTTCTTTACTTAGAAAGGTCCTTAAAGTCCCCTGTTGCTCCGGTTTCTTAGAATATGTTTCTCACCCATTGCTAGACTAGGAATTCTCATACACCGAACGATGTTGACTTGAACTGAATATGCTCTGTGAGAGGCCTGCTTCTCATGAGGAAGCCATCTCTGGCTCTTCTCTTTTTGGCCTGGGGTGCCAAGACCTAACAGGCAGAAAAGGATCACCTCTCCTGCAAATTCCCATAAGGCCTCAGACAGATTCCATAGAGACAAAAATATGCACTCTTGTTGTCTCACATCTTTCTAGAAATCAGACTACTACCTAGGATATTTGGGTATTGAGGATTCATCAGTAATACACATAATGTATATTCTTCCTCTTTTTATTTTTTGCTGATGAAGCCAAGCAGTCTTTTTGTTTTTCTTAGATATTTTTAAAGGCATTTTATAGGAACATAGCCTAGAGGACTTT